AGCTATGGTGAGAAACATTTAAAATTTACAACCACCCTGCTGCGTCCTTTGAGGTATATTTGGATGCGACAAAAGAGGCATTTGACATTGACCAGTATTGGCACCCTTGGGATTTGGCAGCCTGCACTACACACCTACCAGAGCTCTGATTCCATTCATCAGCCACTGGCAGGGAGCTATTTGACTAAGTGGATTGTTTTAAGATTTTGTAAATCCCTAGCGTACCGAAGTACGTTAGTGTGAGCTTGAGAACAGAAAGGACAACACGAATCAACGGGACACTGAACAATTTTAATTTCTCTAGAATACATGTCTGAGGTTCAATCACGAATTTCGGTTAGCATTGGGATTCTTGTCACCCCTCTTGTCCGGATACAAGAGTATTAATGAATAATTCGATAGATAATCCCCGACGCGACAATAGGACTTAAAAAAAAAATCACAAATATTCCCGACACGACAATTAGGTTTTAAAAATATAAAGAAAAGAACAATAAGTTGACTATCCTTACGAAAAGGCTGATCTTGATGCTCGATGAAAAGTCTCTACGTTTTCGCACATAAAGTTCTCTTCCACGTGGCACACTCTTCCCTTGTTCTCCAACTTCCTTTGTTCCTTCTCCTTCTTTACCAACTCGACACGAACACTCCTGCACCACAGAACCAGGAAGAACCCGGGGGGTTTTCTGCACGTGGCACATTTTATTTTATACCTCCGCGCCACGTACCTGACGAGGGAACCTACGTCATGGCAGGGGCCAATCACGGGCTCGCACCACCACATCACAAGAGGTGGTACGAACCTAACGGAAATTTTACAATTAATAACTTGCGACAAGAACGAAAAATATATATATATATATAACTAATGATAAAGTACAAATACTTAGTGAACAAACACTACAATTTAAAAAGTAAATAATATTTTATGCTATTTTTATGTAAGTTTCTTTACAAAACTATATTTAATTATAATTTTCTTTAAAAGTATATTCCTACAATTGAAGAATACAGCGAATACCCCTACAATTTCCTACAATTTCCTACAATTTCCTACAATTGAAGAATACCCCTATAACGCGGTAGATACATTCCACTTTATAAGAATTTTACGTTGTAGGAATCCTTAAATATGTGAGCCAATCACAGCCCAGCACGTGTGCAGTTTACGGACTATGGCTGTTTGAAAGGTTTTCTTCCATAAAATTAATTGATTCTAGACTAATTTGACTCAACATTTCCAAATTATGTATAATTTTTTGGGAATAATCCGTATAAACTATGCTATAAACAAAAATTTGTAGGATTACTTACCAAGTATGCACCGTTTGACGACACCATTGCTTAAGCTTGTTTTCATGGCGGAGCAGCGCACCAAACGGCAGGCGCGTTTTCTGATAAGTTATTTTTCTGCCAAAAATTCATTGAACTTTGGAGACATCATTAATAGTAATAATTTTTATGGCTGTTGAATAAGAAATGTTTTTTCACAAGAAATGTATTAGACTTACAATACCTAATTTATATACTGTACAGATGATAGTAAACTCAACTTACCCACCTAAACTTTTCATAGCGTGTAAGTAGTTTGGCTGCTCGTCCACTATTGGTCCAGATTTGACCAATCCTGTTGCAACACAAGTCGGCAATGACGTTTTACTGCATTTTACGAATCTCTTTTAGCGTCTTTATATGAATACGGTCGCAATTTTTTGCTGCGATATACGAATCCACATTATATGAACCCATGTTATAGGGGGGGTCGACTGTATTTTGTACCAGGTATGAATATCCACCACACATTTTATTTCATCAACTAAGTCTTTTATAACTTTATTTTTAATTTTATCCCTTATATCACGGCTAGTGATTCAGAATGTAATTGTGATATTAAAAATACATTTAGAGAAGTTTATAGTTTTTACTGACTTATCGAAAAAACGAATACGAATGGATCCTAGACCATCACTGATGTGCAATTAACTGATTGCCTCTGGTGGAAGTTGACTTCTTACAGAAACACAGCTATCATCAAATGTCACGGCACACTACTGATATATATATATATATATATTTATTTATTAGTTAGTCAAACCCCATTATTACATTAATGGTTTATGCAGATTCTGCATCAATGATGCAAAATAGATTTGTGATCTCATGGACAAGGATAGGCAATACAATGTTAACAAGTTTCAATAATATAAATTACAATATATCAGTTAATATGTAATATGAAGCATGCCATGGGCTTATGAATTCAATAACAATTATATTGTAATTTAATTCAAAGCAGCTTTCCCAAAGTCAAACTAGCCAAAGTAGGCAACACAAGTCACATTGTGACCTGGGGCATGTTTTTGAACTTTAACGTTAGGCACAATGCTTATGATGTCAACATTATTGCCGTCATTGGCATGTATGCCTTGGTACCATATATATATATATACACACATATATATATATACACCAATACCAATGTTCATTCTGACTCGAAAAAAACACTTTCTCTTATAGTCATCTGGAAGACACCTGGTGTAAACAACATTTACAATTTCTGGTGCAAAAAGTTTACATCACTGCACCAGAAACTAGCTAAACACCTAACACACATCATTATTATTAATCCACAAGACATGCCAAAATTTTTTACTTGTTGCATTACCTACATGAAACCTAAATAATAATAATACCATAGACACCATACAATACAGACTAATTATATGTCTTCCAACACACTATAAATTATTGACATCCTGTATTGCAAACAAAATATACGAACATGTTGAAGAGCACAACATTCTTACAGAACATCAAATAAGTGGAAACACGCGACAGCCATACATTACTCGCAGTCCTGAAGGAATGGGTGCTTCCTGGAACAATAATTGTTAATGATCAATGGAAGACATATGATTGTCTTCAAACTGAAGGCTTTCATTACTTGACAGTTAATCACAGGTATAATTTTTGTCAATCCCCAAACGATCTCCCACACCAACACCATCGAGAGGACACAGTGCAAGGTGCGCAAGAATGTTCCCCGGTACAGTATCCGCAAGAAATACATGATCGGGTATTTGGCCGAATATCTTTTTAAAGCCAAACAGCCAGACGTGGCAATATGACTTCACCACTTCTTCTTTGCCAGTGCAAATCTTTACTTCCCGGATTACTAGTTTAGAGGAAGTTTTGTCACAACTCTGTATGCTAAAACGATGACACTTTTTCAAGGTCATCATTTTTGAAGTTCATTATGAAATTCTAATTTGTGTTGTAACTGTAAAAGAGTGTAAGTCATGGAGTTGCATGAAAATCTTAATCTATTTAAATTTAGAGGAATTATAATTATGTTTTCAAAGATAATAATCACATAATATGGAACACAAGGTCATTGCAGTATCACGTGAGCCTCCAAAATGCGGTGAGAAATTAATTTTCTGCCAGAAAATAAATCAACGAGAAACACGTCAGTAATGTCACGTGTAATACGATTTGTAAGCATCTTCCTCCAACGTGCTACTCCGCAAAGAAAACAAAGTCAGGTAACAATGACTTCAACCATGCATAGTCAGTAAGTAATTCAACGAGTTTTCACTTATAGCATTTTTTTATACATGTCGCCCCCCAAAAATTTCTATCTGTTTAGGACACATTTACTAGTGAAGTCTCTTAAAAAAAGCAAAATTATGCAAAAACACAATACATTAATTATAAACTTTTACTAGTGTTTCCTTTAATCATAGCAGAATGACAATGATATCTGATATAAATAAAATCAGTATTCTGCTTTAATAACTTCCAGCTTTTAACATAGTAGATAGTATCCAGAACATAAGTAAAAGATTAAAATTTATATGGAAAATGGAGAGAGTATACAGCTACAGTAATTTGTAACTAACATGTATAGAATTTTGTAGCCACTCAGCATTTATAGATTTTTTTAAAAATTTTTGTACCTTATCATATCATAAAATATAATTCTATTTCATAATGTCATTTATACTTGGATAGTCTATTAAGATGTTTATGAAAACAAATTAAGCATTCATATAAGGTAACCAAGAACACAAACGTTTCATTATTAGTATCACATAATGATGTAATAGATAATCTGAAGTAATTAAATTAATGAAAGTAAAACAACTACATAAGTTTATCTCTCAGTTTTTCTACATTCATATTATTTTATTTCACTTACCGTAATCGAAATATTTCTTTACAATAACGCTAATTTCAAGCCATTTCGTTTCACTTCTATAAACATTTAGCAGTACCTTTCGCAATATAACAGCTGGCAGTTTACAGCGTGACAACATTGAAACTGTAGTGCTGCCAGCTGACTAAGAACAATTTTTTATTTGAAAAATAAAAAACATTTCTTCATTNGGAAGTATCTTTGGCAGATTATTTGTGTGTTGTGTTGCCATATCCTATTAAACCAAATCAAGAATAAAAGAAAAAGATTCTATTTCTTATTTATTTCATTTTGAAATTGTGTAGCTTTTTAATGTGTAAATTACCAAATTATATTTTTTTTTTATTTCTAGATATTTGAAGAAAAATTCTATTATAGTTTATGCAGATAGTATAAATGTAGTAGTTTATAAAATAAACATAAATGGAGACAAGATGAACAAAACATCTTAGCAAAATTATCTTACTTTTTCATTATTTATTTAAATTATTCATTTCTTTTTCATTCATAATTTTTATTTTCATAAAAGATTATTCAAGGAAGAAAATTAAAAAAGTCTGAAGGTTATTTAAATGTTCTGTCTGTGAAATGATCAAATGATAAAAAGTGTTCAAAGCTTTTACAATGTATGGAATTATCTTTAAGCTGCTACATAATCTAGATTATAATGATTAAATTATAAAAATCTTGCCATATAGTTTAAACTGGATAAATATAGTGATGCCTGATACTCAGGGCCGGATCATCGCATAGACAAATGAGACAAATGTCTAGGGCTTGTATTCCTAATAATAAACGCTAGGTGGCGTTTAGTTATTTTATGGTGTTCGATAAATTGTGTATTTCATTTGGGATCGTGAAAACAAAGATTTTTGTTATCGGTTATAGTCAACAGAATGTCTTTTGAAAGAACATCGTCGTTTATTTTATTTATATTTATAACGTCTATTTCAAATTTAACTCTAGCTCAATGGAATACCAAAGATTATTTGAAAAGAGAACATTCTCTTATCAAGCCGTATCAAGGTAGAATTTCGAAATCTATTAATTTTTTTTTTACTGTATATTGTGTTGCGTTTCTGATCCACAAACCTCATTAACTCTTTAAATTCATTCATTTCAACGAAAATAAACATACTTGACTACATTAGAATTACATCTTCAGATCTTAAACAGTATAGTTTAATGTTTAAAAAATAGTAATGCATCCAAGTCATAATTAATACTACATCTTAGCTCTTGCATATATTTAATACTCATATTTAATTGTAAAACAGAAAAAAAAAAGTTAATTAAATGATTTTCTAGAAAAATGTATTGTTAAGAAGCATACCAGAGTATCAAATAACTTTATTATTTCATTTAAAATGTGATTAGACATGCATATCTGCAAGTAATACCGATCACTTATCAATGAAGTCGCTAAAATGCAATTTGCGGTTTATAGGTTACTTTTCTTATGTAACGATGATTTGCCGATTACTGTAGTTGAATTTATTTATTTTTATCTAGTGAAAGGAATGAATTATTCAATTTTAAATATTTTTTTCTTCCTCTCTATGAAAATATAATTTTTATTTATACGTATTATTTAAGAAAATGTTATGGTTTTTAATAAATTTATTATACTGCCACTAAAAACACTGGTGGTTGGTTTTAGGTTTGCACCTTGCCAATGGGCTGGCCACATAGTTTTCCGGGTTTCGTGTGTCTAACGTCTAAATAGGGCCAATTTCTCAGAAATACTGGTCAGAGTCTACCTAGATCAGTGTTTCTCAACGGGGGCGATATCGCCCCCATGTGGGCGTTTTTCCATGTTGAGGGTGCGATTAGTAACAATTTATAATTTGGGGGGCGAAAAACAATTTTCTTGGCGATATAGTAAAGCATTATACTAAGAATAATTAGATATTTTATTCGTTATATCGTACAATAATTAAACAAATAACATTATACTAGCCACTAGTCTATTCGATGCAGTACGAATTTGGCGTTAGCCTTGGCTCTCGGCATCAGAATTTTGAAGTGAAGGGGGCGATACTACGTAACGGTTTTATTGAAGGGGCGACGGTTTGTTAGAGGTTGAGAAACACTGACCTAGATAGTCTCAATGGCTGCGCTTCCAACGGACTCCTCCTAAAGGGGAGCTGTCGGCAAGCCTCTGAGTGTTTAATGTTACTAGTTATTGATTCACGGTAATTCTTGAACAAAAGAAAAAAAGGAAACATTTACTAAAAATATAGTTAATTTTACCTAACCTAAACTAACCGAAGCGATGCCATTGGGACTACCTAGGTCAGTGTTTCTCAATGGGGGTGATATCGCCCCCATGTGGGCATTTTTCCATGTTCAGAGGGCCATTAGTATCAATTTATATTTTGGGTGGCAAAAAAACAATTTTCTGGAAGATATAGTAAAACATTATATTAAGAATAATTAGATATTTTATTCGTTATATCGTACAATAATTAAACAAATAACATTACACTAGTCACAAGTCTATTCAATGCAGTACGAATTTGGTGTTAGCCTTGGCCCTCGGTATTGGAATTTTGAAGTGAAGGGGTGATACTACGTAACGGTTTTATTGAAGGGGGGACAATTCATTAGAGGTTGAGAAATACTGACCTAGGTAGAATTTAATTTAACTGAAATACCTAATGGGAAGTATCTTTGGCAGATTATTTGTGTGTTGTGTTGCCATATCCTATTAAACCAAATCAAGAATAAAAGAAAAAGATTCTATTTCTTATTTATTTCATTTTGAAATTGTGTAGCTTTTTAATGTGTAAATTACCAAATTATATTTTTTTTTTATTTCTAGATATTTGAAGAAAAATTCTATTATAGTTTATGCAGATAGTATAAATGTAGTAGTTTATAAAATAAACATAAATGGAGACAAGATGAACAAAACATCTTAGCAAAATTATCTTACTTTTTCATTATTTATTTAAATTATTCATTTCTTTTTCATTCATAATTTTTATTTTCATAAAAGATTATTCAAGGAAGAAAATTAAAAAAGTCTGAAGGTTATTTAAATGTTCTGTCTGTGAAATGATCAAATGATAAAAAGTGTTCAAAGCTTTTACAATGTATGGAATTATCTTTAAGCTGCTACATAATCTAGATTATAATGATTAAATTATAAAAATCTTGCCATATAGTTTAAACTGGATAAATATAGTGATGCCTGATACTCAGGGCCGGATCATCGCATAGACAAATGAGACAAATGTCTAGGGCTTGGTCAAACTGTCCATTTTGAAAAGATTTGTAAATAAGATAGTTTATTTTTCTGTTGGACAACAGTATAAAATAAACAAATAAACAAAAATATATTGCTTTTTGTATGGTTATTGTGAATTTTAAAATCTAAAGAAAATGTACGTGGGTTGTTCAAAAAGTTCCTGAACTTTTTGAATAGCGTGCCTCCAGTTGGTTATTTTTTAATTCGCTTGGAGGCGTTGTGTCCGTGGAAACCTCCCGAGTAACCTCCTTCAACCCGTTTGTTGATATCTTGTTTTGGTGATTAGTTACGGCCGTTTATGTGAAATGGTGTTTGTGGGGTTCAGCGAAAAATTGGATCCGTGGAAATCAGCTCTTTGAAAGAACAGCGTTGTTCTGTGAAATTCTGTGTGAAACTCGGAAAATCCTTCACGGAAACTTCCCACGGGTGGGTGAAACAGCCCCCTTCCCAAAAAGCTCGACAAGTTCGCTCAAATGTTAAGGTGATGTTGACTGTTTTTTTTCGATGCAAAGGGGGTTGTGCATCATGAATACCTACCTACAGGCCAGACAGTCAACACGGAGTACTACCTGGTGTTATGAATCGCCTAAGAAACAAAATCAGGCGAAAACGTCCCGAACTTTGGAGGAACCGCGAGTGGTTCTTTCACTGCGACAACGCGCCGGCTCATTTCTCCCTCAGAACACATGAGTTTTTGGCCAAAAACAAGACCGCTGTGCTTCCACACGCACCCTACTCACCTGACCTGGTCCCGTGCGACTTTTTCCTGTTCTCCAACAAACTAAAAAACGCGCTCAAAGGAAAAACATTTGCCACCATTCCAGAGATAGAAAAAAAGACGGAGGAGCTTATGAGCTTTCTGGAAAAAGCGTTCCAGGACTGTTTCAAAAAGTGGAAGTGTATATGCTGCGGAGGAGACTACTTTGAAGGGGACCCCGACAAATAAATTGTATGTGAAGTATTTTTTTTTTTTTTGTAATAAATAAAGTTCGGGAACTTTTTGAACAACCCTCGTATTCTTATGTTTCTTCTTATTGAAAGTAAAACTCCCAATAATTTAGAATATTCTTTATAGCGATAAGAATAATATTAACTATATGTATTCTTAAATCCTATGAAATATTGTTAAATAATTTTACTTTTATTTTTTATAAAGCAGCTGTCCATATGCAATTTAATAGAAATAATAGTAACAAGATTTATTAATTGAAAAAGTCGGGAGGGGCCCAGAAGAAGAAAATGTCTAGGGCCGCAAAGTGGGTTAATCCGGCCCTGCTGATACTTCATATTTAATTCATTTCAGGAGGTTGTTCAAACTCCAAATCATTCAAAGTCCATATTAAATTTTCCAATTAGAAATAATGGAAAGCATATTAACTTCTTAACATAGATAGGTGATTTAATTATAACATTTGTGAAATTAACATATTATAGATAATGTGAGATTGTATTTTATGTTTGGAAGCTTACTTTAAATGCTTTACTTTATTTCACATTTTGTTTAAATAAAATCATGTCTTCAGATAAAAGCAAATTGGGTGGCATATTATGCTTTGAGTTTCGGAAAGTGTTATACAAACATAAGGTGACCAGATGTTCTGCTTTTGGTGGGACAGTCCTGATTTTTAACAATTTGTCCCACGTCCTGTGGCATTTTAAAAAAGTCCAGACTTTTTGGAAGGATTAAATTTTTGTCAATTATGTGTCATAAACTTGCATCTTATGTTTAAGATTTGGTAAAGATTGTTTCGTATTGTGGCTGTTCACCATATTAGATATATATTTTGTTCTAATTTTTGTATATTTTCCTTTCTTTCATCTACTGTTTGTCCTTTGTAGAAATTTCCTTCCCAACCCTTCCTACTTGGGTGGTGGTGACTAATTCCTTTAGAACAAATGAGAGGAATGTGACCCTGAGGGGTGTCTGTGTGTGTGTACAACAGGCATGCTTTGCTGGGACATTACAATGATATTGAACATTTTCATTGGGTCATGTTAAAACAAGAACTTAATTGGGAAGATGTGCAAAAATCATTCGATCACATTAGTCAACATTTTCCAGATAGCAATATTTTCGAAAATGATCTTTTTAATTAAGTATCGTTATTAAAAAAATATATTGATAAGGAAAAGGTTAAATCTTGGGCATTAGCAAAAATCTCAACACAGAACAAATGAACAAATGCTTACTGGAACTAATTAAATAATTTAAAAATAAACAAACATCTTTCACTAGTCCAGCACAACATTTAATACGTTAAAAACGTTTTCAGAAATGGCTAGAAATATTTCATCATTTTGAAACAAACCATGTTTTATACAATAACGCATTAAAAATTGTGGAATAAACACTGTTCTTACCAGGAACAAATGTCCTGACTGAATGTGTTTTTTCTACCATGAATAAAGTGTGGACATCCATCCGACAAAGCACAATTAACCTTTCGGCAGTGGGATAGTCAGGTATGGTGCTATCCCAAAGTAGTGGAGAATGAATATACCTGGGAAATTTTAAAGTATTTTTTCATGTGATTTTTCTCTTTACCGTTTTGGAAAAAGATTTTGTAAACAGTTATGTCTAGTAAAGAAAAGTCCATTTTTTTATTGTTACATAATTCATTTTTTATGTGAATTTTTTTTTGTGGTAGTTTTTGGCGATTTCCCCAAAAGAATTTGACGTATATATACATCCCTCACCACTGCCACATGATTGTACTGGACCTATATATACGTCCCTCACTGCTGGGTTAAGTGCTGAAACTATAAACGCAAT